GAGAGAAAGGGCAGAAGAAGAACATTGAGCCTTCGCCGAATAGAAGAAGCCACCCTTGTTTTGATGCAAGGCAGGTTGCTCCATTCAATTCTGGGATGGTGATGGTGTATTTCCTGCCTGATTCAGCAATCAACACGCATTCAGAATTTTCACCGTATAATAGAAACCAAGGTTCGTGACTTGGTAAGGCTTCAATCTCAGCTGAAGCCGCGGATGAAGCAGAATTCCAATCCTTGCAGACACCACGGAAGCTGAGAAACTCAATTAAACCTAGACGCTCAGCAATCGATTGTAAAAGTTCACAAGGAAGATCACTCCACTCCCTGGCTGCCATTTCGTCACGCGCTCTGGAACCTGCAGGATATATAGACTACTTCATGTTCATCACAATAAATTAATAATGGCTGCTGAAGAAATTAAATTAATCAGTGTGTAATCAAAAACTTCTAAAATTTTATTCCAACTTAATCAAACTTAACAACTCTTAAGATGGTATTCAAAGGGAAAAAGAAATGCTGGGGTCTCAAATTTCATTTTTCTCTCAAGTAATTCTGATGACTGCATAACTTTCTCAAGTTTCTCGAGATAGAAAAACAATGCAATCTCAAGTTGAAATTAAGTGTGTCATCAACCATCAAACCTAATTAAGGAAGATATTGAAGCGAGCTAGCACATGTTACATGCATCAAGCTATAGACAAATTAAAACATGGCAATCCAATCCAATCAAAAGAGAACTAGTATAAAAGATGAATATGTATATGTAAAAATACCTGATACTAAAGTACATAATAACAAATCAAATTAATGATATATACATCTTAGGAAAACAAATCAAAATTAGATAAAAAGCAAGGCGCATTGATGATTGTAAATTAGTAGTGATCATTGATAGAATACCTAATTTCCTGTTAAAAAAAAAACCTGGAGTTTTGCTGAGGAATTAATAACATGATTGCACCTAATGCCGGCGACCATGAATCAGGTATTATTCAATTAAAAAGAATGAGAACTGTTTGTTGATCAGGCATTAGGCTTTTCATCTTAATATATTAAGAGCAACAAAAGGCAGAAGGTAGGGTTTTGTCATTACCTTTGACTTTGAATCTCAGACGAGTAATCCTTGCTCCTGATCATAGAACAATAATTGGGATGACTTTGGAGGAACTATATTTTGTTTTCAGCAGCCCAACCTAAGAAGAACTTCTTCCAACTAAGGTCTCCCATCCAAGAATCCATTATTCTATTAATTACATTTTCCTTTTCATTTGCATGGAAAAAGCCCATTGGACTTCGATTATGCAATCAGAGACAATTATTTCTCAATTTTATTAACTTTATATCCTCTTTTAAAATTTGCATAGAAATTTTTACATACTAGAATTTTCATATTTTATTTTTAATCTTTCTATTTCTATGTCCCTTACGATTCTATAAATATTAAACAGCAAAGAGATAAATTTATAGTAAGATTAAATAAGTCAAGTCTTATAAGTTATAATTATGCGAGAAGTATTTTTTGAGAATAAAATCCTAAACCCTAACAATATAAAAGAATGTGCCCCTTGGATTGTTCCCATTTTGGGGAAGGGAATCAATTCAACAAAAAACGAGGTAATATCTTTAGTGCATTAAGAAACGGGTCGGGCGTTTGGTCTAGTGGTATGATTCTCGCTTTGGGTGCGAGAGGTCCCGAGTTCGATTCTCGGAACGCCCCAACATTTCTGGGTTAAATTTTTTTTATGGCTTTTGAGCATAATTCTAGACAAAGCAATACACGCGTACGAAGCCTGGGCATCTTCGTCTTTCAATATGCCACTGGGAAGTAGGAATGAAATAAGTCAAAATCTCATTTGCAATATTTTGTTTTTGCTTCTGTAAAAAAACAATAGAGAAGTCCAAAAGGCTCAAAAATGGAAAAAATAA